GCCAGCGTCGCCACCATCGTCGTCGTGTCTGCCGTTGTCGACGTTGCCATGATATCGCGCCCGCCCAAGTCGCCGACTCGCTCTGAAGTGCCCGCTGGGGTGTGCCGAGCAGTCGGCGCCACCGCGCTCGCCTCGGGCGCGCCGAACTGGCTGGCCGCTGCGCGCGCGAGCATGCGCTGGCCAGCGCGGCCGCGGAGACGCAGCAGCCAACGCCAAGCAATCATCGCAATCGCTTCCGCATGGGGTTTGCAATCTAAGTTGCGGGTGGGTGGGCGGGATGTTTGCGTCAGCAGTGGAGTGGGCATTTTCAAGTTGAGCAACGGTGAAATGCACCGCTTATGTAGCACCTTGTATATTGCATTACATAGGCTGCCGCGCGTAGACCACACAGCGTCGATTCTCATGTTTTGTGTTCAGTTTTCGTGCTGCGATTTTCACATGATTCTACTTCACCGCCAGTCCCAACTCTGAACCCATGCCATCCCGCCCGAGCGAGTGTCGACACCCCCCCGTCATCTTATGCTGCAGAATACTATGCGCGCGCTCGTTTATCACAGATCGCCAGTTCTCAGGCCGCGTGCGTGCAATCGCGACAACCTTTTTGCCGAAGATGGGACGAAGTGCGCGCGCTCGTCGTCGCGCGCGCATGTCGGGAGCTGTCGAAATCCTCAGGTTTCGTTTGGATGTCAGGCCGAGTGTCGCGAAACCATATATATATACACAGTATACACAATATATGTACATATACATATATACACATCTCTCTCTCTCTCGTTTTTTTTTTTTTTTTTTTTTTGTTTGTTTTTTTGTTTTTTCTCTCTCTCTCTCTCTCTCTATATATATATATATATATATATATATATCTGTATATCTATATATAGGAACGCTTGGTTTTGCAGCATCAGTGTTTCAAAAAAATGCTTGCGTTCGCGCTCTTGCGGTTCGCAAGAAAGCCATCGGGTTTTCAGCATGTTCATGGAGTTTTGATAAGCGGGCCTCTCGCGCCGCATGCCGAGCTCATTCGAAAACTCTTGTGCGCGTGGTGGGAGGGGGGGCGCGATCCGTGTCGAATAATACCATGCGGGCCGCTCGCGCGTCGGCCGCGCGCGCGTGTCGAACTTCTTCAAACGCCTTCATCACGGACGCAAGTGCGCCGTCATCGTCGTCGGCGTGATCAGCATCTGCGCCCGTACTGGCCGTGCCGTCGTCGTTGCCAACATCGTCAACAACATCGTTATTACCATCATCGCGTCTACCGTTGTCGATGTTGCCATGATACTGCGTTCGCGTCGGTCGCGACAAATTAGCTGGCCGCTGCGCGTGCGAACATGCGCAGGTTAGCGCGGCCACAAATATGCAGCAGCCAACACCAAGCATTCATGGCAATCGCCTCCGCACGGATTCGCAAACCAAATTTCGGACGGGTTGGTGGTTTGATTGCGCGAGCGGTGAGATCGACAATTTCAAGTTCGGCAGGATGAATTGCACCACGTCGATTCCTTTTTCTTGGAAGCAATAAGTTCTACCACCTCCCCCCCCGGGGTTAAAAATCCCTTGGGAACCGATGCAACACCCATCGGATTCTGACCCAATGTCCATCTTACATGTGAATTCAAATTGTCCCAGCCAGGCGTGTATGGATCCCCTCGCCCCCGCAAGCAAAATACTATGCGCACGCAGTCGTTTATCTGAACTCCTAAGTTTTCAATAGTCCCTTGCAAAAGTGAGACGAGGTGTGTACGCGCGCGTCGTCGCGCGCGCATGCCGACATCCATAAAAAACATTCGGTGCCGGAGCGATTTCAAAATTTCATTGTCAAAGCAACATACAAAAACACATAGTTTCGCAACACTGGTTTTCTGAAAGGATTATGCGCGCGCCCATGCGAAATCGAAAGAAAACCATAGGGCTTGCAAACTGTCAAGAAGAATCACATATTACCAAACGGGCTTCGCGCGCGCATGTCGAAATCGTTTGAACGCTCTTGCGCGCGTGCCGCCGCGAGAATCCTCAGCAACAAATGTGACGAAGTGCACGCTCGCGCGCCGTCGCGCGCGCATGCCGAAATCCGCCAAACATTTTCGGTTTCGGAAGGGTTTCAAAATCGAGTGTCCAAAAAAACATACAACAACGTAAGGTTCGCAACGTTGATTTTTAACAAAAGCGTTCGCGCGCGCTCTTGCGTCGTCGTCGCCGTCGTCGTCGTCGCAGTCCTCCCTCCTCCCCCGTCGTCGTCGCCGTCGTCGTCCTCTGTTTCCTCGTCGTCGTCGTCGTCGTCGTCGTCGTCCTCTTTGGCGTCGTCGTCATTTCCAACGTCGTTGTCGCCGTGGTCGTCCTTCCTCCTCCCTTGTCGTCGTCGTCCGTCGTCGGCGTTTCGTCGTCGTCCCTCCTATTTCGTCGCCGTCGTCGTCGTTCAGGTCGTCGCCGTCCTCCCTGGGCCCTCGTCGTCGTCGTCGGCGTCGCCGTCCTCCCTTTTTCGCCGTTCGCGTCGTCACCGTCCTCCCTCCTCCATGGCCGTTGTCGTCGTTGTCGCCGTCATCGTCCTCCCTCCTCCCTCGTTGTCGTCGTCGTTCTCGTTGGCGACGTCGTCGTCGTCGTCGTTGTCGTCGTCGTCGGTGTCGTCATCGTCGTCGTCGGCGGCGTCGTCGTCGTCGTCGTCGGCGTTGTCATCGTCCTCATCGTCGTCGTCGTCGTCGGTGTCATCATTGTCGTCGTCTTTGTCGTTGTCGTTGTCGTCGAAGTCGTTGGAGACGTCGTCGGTGTCGTCGTAGTCGGTGTCGTTGTCGTTGTCGTCGTCGTCGTCGTTGTCGCTGTCGTCGTCGGCGTCGGTGTCGTTGTCAAGTGCCATTTGGTACCTGCCGTGACGGTCTTAAAAGGTCTTGCAACCAAGTTGCGGGTGAGAGGGTGGGATGTTTGCATGAGCAGTGGAGAGGACAGTTTCGAGACAGTCAAAGTGAAATGCACCACATAGACTGCACCGCGTTGGTTGCATTACGTAGGTTGCCGTGCGTAGCTTGCACCACATATATTGCACCGCATATATTGTTGTACATATATTGCACCGCGTAGATTGCACCACTTAATTTGCACCGCATGGATTGCATAGCGTATATTGCATTACGTAGGTTGCATCGCATTCGTTGCACCACATCGATTGCGCCGCGTAGACTGCAAGAACCTACTGTTTGAGGTCCACGCTGGCTAAGATGATAATCTCCTTCCTGTCACACCCCGAGGCGTGTCGGTATGGCAGGCCCGGCGTTTCGACGGAGTTTGTATTACCATGTTTGATGACATTTCAATTTTGCATCTTCACGGATGGAGGGCGGCCCGTTTTCTAAGTGTTGCTCTCGCTTCAGGGCCGGGCACATTCGTTTTAAAAGTCAGCAGAGGTTTCACGGATGGAGAGCCTCTTTTTCAAATTGTGGTTCTCGCCTTAGCGCCGCGCGCATTTGTCTTAAGCGTTGATCAGTTTCGAGGATTCTTATTGTTGACGTTCCAGGAACGGTGTCTTGTCACGATGTAGGGTTGTCAGGGCGCAGTTATTCTTCCATTTTCGCAGTGCTGACGTCCCAGGGATGATGTTCTGGTACGATACAGGATGGCCAGGGCAAAGCAGTGACGTTGATCCACGGCGTTGAAGTCCCACGAGTGGTGCATTGGCACGGTGGAGGATTTTCAGACGGTTGTCTTACGACGGTGCTTTTCCCGCGGTGAAAATATGTCCTTGCAGGATCCTGTGATGAGGGAGCTTGGAGGGAGGATTTCATGCACCGTCGTTGATGCGTCTTGGGTTTGCACTGGTCCTCCATGTCCTCCTCCTCCCCGTCCCCCTCCTCCTCCTCCTCCTTCTCCTCCTCCTTCTACTCCTCCCCTTCCTTGGAGGCAGTGCTGCTTGAAGCAGGCATTCGAGACCATCAACAAGGCCTGGATGCCTTCCGCACTATTGATCTCGAGGTGGAGGGCTGGTCGGAGTCTGAGTGCGATGTTGGGGGTATTGGGGGAGAATCGCGCGTCGAGCCTGCGGTCGCGGGCTCAGCCCCGGGGCGAACGTGAGCGCGGCCGGTCGTCTGGGCTCGGAGCCCGAGCCCGCGCGCAGACGCTCCGCTTCCTGTTGGTTCTTGGCGCGTGCGCGGGCAGTGCCTCCTCGCCCGCGGAGGATACGCATGCACCGTACCGAGTTGGCGTCTCCCGAGGCGTTGTCGATCTTCGACCCAGGAATGTTGCGGTGCATAGTTTATCGGCCTCAGAGCCAACAGCTATGCACCCTACCGCGTTGGAGCGAGGCCTGAAGGGAGTTCAAACATGGCACTGTGATTAAACGCCGTTCTCGTACCTTGCTGCCCAGACTCGCGAGAAGGCGTTGCCCAGAGGGTTGACCCAGGGGCGCGTCCTCTTCAATGTTAGTCTGCGGGACCTGTTGGAGTCATGCCACATGCCCTGGTTTGGGCCACGGGCTCTTAGCGCCCTGTCCGCACAGGGACGGTGAGCCACCCCCGAGGGCGAAGAATTCACGCAGCCGCATCAGCCGTGGGGGGCACCCCTACTGGGCATGGGGAGGCGGCCGTCGACGAAACATGCAGCCCGTCGGAGGCGGTGCGTGCGCCCTCAGCCATTTCGCTTTGGAAGGGGCGGAAGGGGTCCCTGGTGCCCGCATGGCCGAGCCTCCGTTAGGCCCTCCAGTTCGGTGGGGCGCAGCGTGCTCAAGGGTGGCACTCTGCGATGCATTACTGGCACTTGGATTTAGCACGCGCGGCCAGGCTGAGCAGCTTGGCCGCGAGACGCAGCGTCTGGCCGCCGAGCGGGCCAGCCGGCTCGCCGCCGCGCGCGCCAACGAGGAGAGACACTTTGTTGTCGTGGACCATCGCCTGGTCCTCCTCCTCCTCCTCCTCCTCCTCCTCCTCTTCCTCCTTCTGGAGTCGCGTACCCCTTCCTCCTCTTCCTCCTCCTCCTCCTCCTCCTCCTCCTCCTCCTCCTGGTCGACCCCCCCTCCGAGCCAGGAGGGCGCGCCCGCCACGCGCGGCAGCCGCGGCCACACGCCCCCGCGGTCCCACGCCTCCGCCGCCACGGCCAGGGGCCCGGACCAGCCCCCCGCGGCCCCGCCTCTCGGGCGGGCGGTAGACGCGGGCGGGCGGTAGACGGGGGGGTGGAGGAGGAGGAGGAGGAGGAGGAGGAGGAGGAGGAGGAGGAGGAGGAGGAGGAGGGGGAGGAGGAGAAGGAGGAGGAGAGGAGGAGGAGAGGAGGAGAGGAGGAGGAGGAGGAGGAAGGGGAGGAGGGGGAGATGGAGGAGGAGGAGGAGGAGGAAGAAGAAGACGAATAATAATACTAAGAAGACGAATAATAATACTAATAATACTAATATTACGAATACTAATACTAATAATAATAATACTACTAATAAAAATAATACGACTACTACTAATAATAATAATAATTATAATAATAATATTAGTAATAATAATAATACTACTAATAGTACAAATAATACTACTAATAATAATAGTAGTAATAATACAAATAATAATATTAATAATACTACTAATAATACTAATACTAATACTACTAATAACAATACTACTACGAATAATAATAGTAGTAATAATAACAACAATCCTACAATAATAATAATGATAATGATAATAATAATATTATTATTAATAATATTAATAATAATAATACTAATACTAATAATACTACTATTAATATTATTATTAATAATAATAATAGTAATACTAATAACAATACTACTAATATTACGAATAATAACAACAACAATAATAATAATAATAATAATAATATTAATAATATTAATAATAGTAATAATAATAACAATAATAGTAATACTAATAATACTACTACTACTAATAATAATAATAATAATAATAATAGTAGTAATACTAAGACGAAGAAGAAGAGGAGGAGGAGGAGGAGGCGGAGGCGGAGGCGGAGGCGGAGGAGGCGGAGGAGGAGGAGAGGAGGAGCGGAGGCGGAGGCGAGGAGAGGAGGAGGAGGATGGAGAGGAGAGGAGGAGGCGGAGGGAGGAGGAGGAGGAGGAGGGAGGAGGAGGAGGAGGAGGAGGAGGGAGGGGAGGGTGGAGGAGGAGGAGGAGGAGGAGGGAGGAGGAGGAGCGAGGAGGAGGGAGGGCGGAGGCGGGAGGGCGAGCAGGAGGAGGAGGGCGGAGGGAGGAGGGGGGGCGGAGGAGGAGGAGGAGGAGGGCGGAGGAGGAGGAAGGGCGGAGGAGGAGGAGGAGGCGGAGGGCGGAGGAGGAGGAGGAGGAGGAGGAGGAGGGCGGAGGAGGAGGATGGAGGAGGAGGAGGAGGAGGAGGGAGGAGGAGGAGGAGGAGGCAGAGGAGGAAACCGCTGGACGGTGGCAATTGGCGCCTTAGGGTATTGCGGCCTGAGTTGTGGAGGTACGTTGGCATCCCTCCCTACGGTCGTCTTCGTTGGCCGAGGGGCCGTAGGGAGGGCCTCGGCCCCCTCCAGTGGCAACTGACGCCGTGTTGTATTGGTGCATTAGTAGGAGAGTTCGACCCAAGCGGCCCCGATGATGGCAGCCGCCAGGGGTGTGAGGCCTATGATGGTCCTCACGGGCGAGGCCTATGATGGTCCTCACCGGGGTGGGGTGGTGGAGAGGCCAGGAAGGTCGAAGCGGGTGTCCGACAAGAAGCAAATCTGCTCGAGGGGGCAGGTGGTCTTGAGGCGGGAATTTCTGAAAGTGAAGGGGGGAAAACAGAAAACCGGCATACACAGCTTCGACACCGAAACTAAGTAGGCCCTGCGCACTCGGTATCCCCCAGGGGGGAAGTAACTAACGAGTGCGCACGCAACGCTCAGGTACCGGTTTGTTGCTCGCCCAGCCCCGGGGACAGCTGCGCCCCGTGGAGAGCAAATCCGAAGAGGGGCAGGCACCCCCCGAATCGAAGTCCCTCTACGAACACAGATCTCGTAAATACTATGTGGTGCCTCACGCACCACACAGCATGGCACGGGTGGAAGCAAGCATATTCCGGCAGTGCCCTGCCGGAACGTGCTGCGCACACGGCCGAAAAACCAAGGCCCGTCCAGACCGTTACGCAAAAACGTCGACGCGGGAAATTGGGGAAGGAGGAGGAGGAAGAGGAGGAGGAGGATGAGGAGGAGGAGGAGGTGGAGGAAGGAGGAGGAGGAGGAGGAGGAGGAGGAGGAGGATGAGGGGGCGGAGGGGGTGGAGGGGGCGGAGGGGGCGGAGGAGGAGGAGGTGGATCAGGGAAAGGCGGAGGCGGAGGCGGAGGCGGAGGAAGAGGTTTATGATGATGATGATGATGATGATGATGATGATGATGATGATGATGATGATGATGATGATGATGATGATGATGATGATGATGATGATGGATGAGGATGAGGATGAGGATGAGGATGATGAGGATGATGAGGATGATGAGGATGATGAGGATGATGAGGATGATGATGATGATGATGATGATGATGATGATGATGATGATGATCCCCGCGTCTGAAGGGGTCGGGAGCTCCTAGCTCGTACTGCCCCTCTGACCGAGGCGTTTCCCTTTGACCCTGCGGCGGCAACGCTCGGTCACGTGCGCCTCGGCGCACACTCGCAGATTCGTCCGAGTGCCGAGAGCAATCAGCCGCCTCAGCCGAGGCGAGCGGATGACCGATCCCAGCAGTCGGAGCGACTCGGCCCGCACGGCAGCAAGCAGAGGCCACGTTGCGCGGTCAAGCAGGCTGGTACACAGCATTGCTGTACACCGCACCCGAGAAGCAACCAGGTCCAAGGCTCCTGGCCACTCCGACTGACGCGGTTGCTCGTCAGGCCTGCGGAGTTCGAACCAGAGCGTGGGCGAACCTACGCTCTCGGATCGCCCTCCACGTCGACAGACGTGCGGGCAGCTGTCGCGCACGGCGCGCCAGAAGCTACATTGAACGGACGGCGTGCTAGCACGCCGAAACGAAGGCTAGCGCTCCACTGCACCTCCCATCAGCAGAGCATCCCGTCAACTCGGCTCCTGGCCACTGAGACGGACTGGTTGCATTGCCGATGGTGCGGAGCCCGATCCCGAGTGAGGGCGAACCTTCGCTCCTGAGTCAGCCTCCGAAGCTACCGCTCAGGTCAGAGCTGCACGGAAGGCGCGCATCGCAGCAGCGAAAAGGGCAGCTTGATGCTGCCAGCGAGTTGCAGCAGTGAGCACGGTCGTGCTGCCGATATGCAATGGCGCTTCGCGCCAGACAGATTGAGCCAGGCAGTGCAAACGCGCGTCGGGAGCGACGGCTGCAGGACAACACCTTTCACCAGCATCGCAACACTTCCCTGGGGCAAGACCCAATAGGACAGCTGCGACGCCGTCGGCATCGGAGCCCGACCCTATGTGTAAGCGAGCCTACACACCTGATTCAGCTTCCGCTCATGCGACAGAGCCTGGAGGCACCGAACGGGCCACAACTGAGCAAAGCAAGAGAGGCACGCAGCACAGGCGATTGACCATTCGCAACGCAACCTCCTGGCCTCACGCGCGGACTGGTTGCATTGCCAATGGGTTCAGAGCCCGATCCCGTGCGTGGGCGAACCGACGCACCTGGTCAGCTTCCGCTGAAGCGTGCCACGCGAGAGAGGCAGCCGAAGCTGCGGTAGAAGGCAGCACCGAGCACGGAGCCATGCTGCAAGAAAGGAGAGATAGTGCCCGCAGAATCGCATCCCGTCTGTTGGCCCTGGCCTCTGCTGGACTGGTTGCGGTGCCGCTGGCATCGGAGCCCGATCCCGCGAGTGGGCGAACCTACACACCTGGTTAGCCTCCGCTGCAAGCTGCAAGCAACTGAGCGCGCGCACCGAGCCTAGGCCATGCACACGTGAGAAGCAAACTGCGAGCAACGTCGAAACGACCTAGCCGACAGCAGCGCAACTATCTTGATGGCCCAGGCCTCACGCTTGGACTTGTTGCATTGCCATCGGCATCGGGCCCGATCCCGTGCGTGAGCGAACCTACGCACATGGCTCTGGCCCAACAGAGGCAAGGCTGGCTAGCCGTCCATCCGCCTGCGCATGCGGCGCAAGGGCTCAGGGTCACCGGCGCTGCCCTGCCCCGCTGGCTGCAGCCCTCGCTTGAGACGGCCGAGGATCGCCTTCTGCCTGTCGTTCTTGGGTGCATTCGGGCACTCCTTCGCCAAGCCTGCCACCCTGCCACTTTGCGTCCAGTGGCCGCACTCGGCGCAGAAGAGGTGATTGCCTGCGCGCTCCAGCTCGTGGTAGTAGTGCGGGTCGAGCCCCCGCCACGGTGGAAGAGCTGGTGGGGGCGGGGGCGGCGGCTGCGCAGCAGGCTGTTCTCGCGCCGCCGCGGCCGCGCCGCCGCTGCCAGCCGAGTCGCCACCGCCGCCACCGTCACGGCGTTCACCATCATCTGCCGCAGCTCCGTGCGGGCCATTGGCCTGGCTGGAGAGGAGCACGGCGCTCGCGGTGAGGATCGCCGCGGCCGCTGCGACGGAGCCCGAGGCGCCTTCTGCACCCGAGGTCCACGAACCCGAGATCGCCTCGCCGCGCCCAGCACACTCCTGCCAAGCCCAGAGCGTGTCTCTGCCGACCTCCAGCCACGGGCAGTGCCGACCGCACGTCCTCCCTGGGCAATCGCGGAAGTTGCGGTGGCTACTCCAGGGCAGCCTGCATCCGTGCCAGCCGCACCGCACTGCTGCCATGCCTGGGCCGTCGTGGCCGTCCTCCGCCGTCAGCTCGGCGTCGCCTTCCCGCGCGGCAGCTCCCAGCCAGCAAAAGTCCTTCGTGACTAGGCGATCCTGGCGCAGGCTGCGCGCGCGCGGACGGTCTCGTCCAGAGGGTGTCCGCGCGCGCAGCTGCGCGCCCGGAGTGGCGCGCGCGTCGGCACTGAGGTTGTCCCGCCGCTGCCACGCGGTGATGCGCTCGGCCTGCGCGTCCGCCAGCGTCTCGTGGGATGATGATGATTTAGTGAGGGGGCCGTCTACAGGAAGGGGGGGTCACCCAAAAACGCTAACAGCCAGGCCGGGGGGCGCAACTAAAATGTAATATTCAAAATTACGTTTTTGTCCGAAGGCATGGTTTGGAAAATCCAGAATTATG